CAAGATCCCCAGATACTTAAACTCCTCCACTTGAGACAGGACGACCCCCCTGACACCAGTACCAATTAAATTCAATTCCAAAAATTTATTAATTTCATTAAAAATAASTATACACAATAAAAAACAAGGAAAATACACAAATCAAAAATCAAAATAAAATGAAAGGTAGCAGAAGAAGAATAAAACGTATTATGTCTGCCCCTTTTATCCCCAGAATATATTCAAACAAAACATATTTTACCAAACCCAGCCTCATGAAGACAGATCGCATCAACTTCTGATTACGGCACTGCATTTATGTGGCTAATCTGTCATGGGAATGATTGAWTGTTRAAAATAAGACTYGACTRATCTAAATTTAAGACCTTAGATGAAAATCTGCGTGTTTTTTAGACTTTTTTTAGGCCTAAAATTTAGATTTTAAAATTTTAGACCTTTTTATACCCGTGGGAACCATGTAAAACGTGGTGTGGTAGCAGCTGAGACTGAGCCAAAGTTATCAATCTAAAACTCTGGCATRAAGTTTATTTATTTATTTATTTTTTAATTGACCCATTTTATTTATCTTCACATGAAGAGAAGTTTGTGTGCAGCAGAGAGGAACCCGGCGCGGAGCATCAGAACATGCTCGTTAGCTGCGTATCCATCATGTGTATAGATGACAGAATCAATGGGGTGGAAATAGCCTGGCYGGGGCGGGATCGTGTCTCCGGGCCATGCAGGCAGCAGGATGTGGGGTAGAGATGGAGGGATGGAGGGGGGGCGATGCTGGTATGTGGGGCAGTCGCTCAATTTCAATCTCACACTCCTGGATTCGATCGTTGAACTTTAATTAACCGAGGCGCCTGTTTGTTATGAGGAAGACGAGTGGCCGTCCTGCTGTTCCAGAGCCACCATGAGGTCCCGTCAGTCCGCCTTTCTTTGTTCTGTTTCATGCAAATAAAAAATCTAATCTAGTTACCAGCAATACAAGTGACTTTTAATGCGTGAACGCTGAGTCAGCATTAGCTTCTGTGCTAATTTATCCCGTCATTTATCGAAACATTAATTCAGCTCGACATATTTATCTTTATTTAGAAATAATTTCCATCGGTGGTGAATATGGCTAACTAAAGGTTAGGTTCACTAACCACTAAAACACTTAACAAGAATCTTACCTCCTCTAACGCTAAACAGATAAAAAAAATAAATAAATATTAGCGGAAGCTAATGCTAACGGCTAAGAAGACTGTCAAATTCAAACCTGTTGTTAGTTTTTATTGGTTTAATTTGAAAGGGGGCGGGATCATCTGTGACAAATCAGCCAATCCAAACCAGAGCTATAGCTC